ATCGACTTAAAATACATTATATACCCCAATCAAGTATTTCAACAAATTAAAAAAATAAGTTATGCGGATCTATGCAAATCTTCTTAATATCACCCTATATCACGCCATTTTAGTTTCTATTTTTCCTTTTCTTTCTTTATTTTTTTAATGGTTTTCTTTATTTTAATAAAAAAACAAAAATTGGTTTTTTTTTTCTTGAATTTTTTTCATGTTTTCCATTTTGATTTTTTTTAAATGGTTTTATTTTTATTTTTCGTTTTTTAATGATTTTTTTCTTAATTTCGATTCTTTTTTAATGAATTTTTTTCCCCCAGTTTTTTTGAATAAAAAAATGTTTTGTTTAATTATTATTTTATTAATTTATTTTAATATTTAAAAAATATCCTGCAGGTTTATCAAAGTGGAATTCACTATAAACTAATAAAAATCCGATATAAATTTGTTGAAAGCCACTATAAATTTGTTGAAAGCCACTATAAATTTATCGATACCCACTATGAAGTAGACGAAATCCACCATAAATTTATTGAAAACCACTACAAATTTATCAAAGACAAACCCTGTCATTAAGAGAACCACTTTGTATAAACCGATATATAAACATGAAAACCACTTGTTATAAAACTATAAAAACATAAAAACCATTCCATATACACAATTATATAACATGAAAACCACTATGTATAAACAACTATATAAACATGAAAACCACTCTGTATACACAACTATATAAACATCGAAAATCACTATGATTTCTAACAATAAAACATCATATTTCAACGGAAAAAAAGTTATAAAACCACTATAAAGGACACCATCTTCACTCCAATGAACCCTAGAGCATAGTCCGTGTAATCATCTTCTTCTCGTTATTCCATTCCGTCCTTAAAATTTGAGCCATAAAATAATATTGATAACCTCGAATAAATTACCAAAATATTGAAAACTAGATTCTTTAATTCATAAAATAATATAAAATTCAAATATCATACTAATATCCCTCATACAAAATTACAAAATATCTAGGAAAATGGTATTCCGAACATGTGGCAGTGAACATCCATTACCAAATATTATGGTTATTACCAAAAATTATGAGCCCATTTCGCAATACTGCTAATTTATCCTATACATCCTAACTCCTAAGTATGACTTGAATAAGCAAGGAAGTAACGCAAATATATTAAGAAAAAAAATATGAAATACTAGAACAGAAAAATCTCAAACTATTCAATAATTTAAACCAGACCTTTGGAAATCTGGGGAATGGTATACGAACAATTATCTGATAAAGCAGAAAAACACAGCTTGTAAAGGATTAGGGCTCCGGTGTGCTTCACTAGAAGGACGGAGAAAGGAGATTACGAGAGAGAGAGAGAGAGAGAGAGAGAGAGAGAGAGAGAGAGAGAGAGATTACCTTGCATGATTGCAGCGGAGAATCAAAAAGGATCAAGAGAAATATATTCTGAAGGCGGCTTGGAAAAAATACGCGAGAGAGAAAAGTTGGGTGAGGATGGTGGCGGCTTGGAAAAAATACGTGAGAAATAAAAGAATATGAGCGTAAGGTTTGGGAGTTTGGATAGAGATTATAATTAAATTTTATAAATTTGCATTAAATAATAGAATTATGTCAAATAGGAAGAAGGGTATAATCGTGAAATTCTATTAATTTTTATTAATTAAAAATATTTTGGATTTAACTTAAAAATCAAAAACAAAAAAATTGAACTCATTGTAATTGAAGGAGGCTAATGAGCGGGGTTTGTCAAATAATCCCTAAAATCAAACACATTTTTATATCTTTTTCCATTTTTTTTCTTTTATTCTTTTATTTTATTTTGAATAATAACTTTATTCATAAATTTATCATTATTATTATTTTATTTTGTTTCTTTATTTGTTTTTATTTTATTTTATTTTTTTATATTTTCTTTTATAATCGTAAAAAATATTTAAAAAATAACAAATACAATTTTTTTAACCTTTTTTTATAAATTTAATACAACAAGCCCTTGAGCTTTCCCTTCTAACGCACGCGCCAGACGTGAGGCTGTTCACTCTCACTCTCTCTTTTTCTTTTCCCTTCTCTTTCTTCAACGTGTCATTTTTATGTATTTTTCTTTTTCTTTTTCCTTTCCTTTATCTTTTTATTATGTATTATATCATTATTTTAGTTTATTTTATTTATTTAGTTGCATAATTTAATATCACATAATTTCAATAAAATCAAGGGGATTATGTATCATATCATTATTTTATTTTATTTTATTTTATTTTTTTAATGGTTTTCTTTATTTTAATTTAAAACAAAAATTAGTTTTTTTTAATTATTTTTTTCTTATTTTTATTTTTCATGTTTTCCATTTTGATTTTTTTAAAATGGTTTTATTTTTATTTTTCGTTTTTTAATGGTATTTTTCTTAATTCCAATTTTTTTTAATGATTTTCCCCCCCAGTTTTTTTGAATAAAAATGTTTTGTTTAATTATTTTTTTATTAAATTTTTTTCAATATTTAAAAAAACATCCTCCAGGTTTATCAAAGTTGAATCCACTATAAACTTATTAAAATTCGCTATAAATTTGTTGAAAACCGCTATAAATTTATCGCTACCCACTACGAACTAGACGAAATCCACTATAAATTTGTTGAAAACCACTATAAATTTATCGAAGACAAAGCCTGACATTAAGAGAACACTCTGTATAAACCGCTATATAAACATGAAAACCACTTGTTATAAAACTATAAAAACATGAAAACCACTATGTATAAACAACTATATAAGCATGAAAACCACCCTGTATACACAACTATATAAACATCGAAACTACTATGATTTCTAACAATAAAACATCAAATTTCAACGGAAAAATGTTATAAAACCACTATAAAGGACACCATCTTCACTCCAATGAACCCTAGAGCATAGTCTGTGTAATCATCTTCTTCTTGTTATTCCATTGCGTCCTGAGAATTTGGGCCATAAAATAATATTGATATCCTCGTATAAATTACCAAAATATTGAAAACTAGATTCTTAAATTCATAAAATAATATAAAATTCAAATATCATACTAATATCCCTCATACAAAATTACAAAATATCTAGGAAAATGGAATTCCCAACTTGTGGCAATGAACATCCATTACCAAAAATTATGGTTATTACCAAAAATTATGAGCCGATTTTGCAATACTGCTAATTTATCCTATATATCCTAACTATGACTTGAATAAGCAAGGAAGTAACGCAAATATATTAAGAAAAAAAATATGAAATACTAGAACAAAAAAATCTCAAATTATTCAATAATTTAAACCAGACCTTCGGAAATCTGGGGAATGGTATACGAACAATTATCTTTTATCAGAAAAACACAACTTGTAAATGATTAGGGCTCCGTTGTTCTTCACTAGAAGGACGGAGAAAGGAGATTACTAGAAGGAGAGAAGAAAAGTAGATAGAGAGAGAGAGAGAGAGAGAGAGAGAGAGAGAGAGAGAGAGATTACCTTGCATGATTGGAGCGGAGAATCAAAAAGTTTGTTATGATCAAGAGAAATATATTCTGAAGCCGGCATGGAAAAAATACGGGAAAGAGAAAAGTTGGCTGAGGATGATAGCGGCTTGGAAAAAATACGTGAGAAATAAAAGAGTTTGAGCGTAAGGTTTGGGAGTTTGGATAGAGATTATAATTAAATTATTATAAATTGGCATAAATAATAGAATTATGTCAAATAGGAAGAAGGGTATAATCGTGAAATTCTATTAATTTTTATTAATTAAAATTTTTTTGGATCTAACTTAAAAATAAATAAAAAAAATTTGAAAATATTGTAATTGGAGGAGGCTACTGAGTCGGTTTGTCAAATAATCCCTAAAATCAAACACATTTTTATATCTTTTTCCATATTTTTTTCTTTTATTCTTTTTATTTTCTTTTGAATAATAACTTTATTCATAAATTTTTTATTATTATTATTTTTTTTATTTGGTTTTTCTATTTTTTTTATAAATTTAAAACAACAACATAATTTTAATAAAACCAAACACTTTTGTCAAATAACCCCTAAAATCAAACACATTTTTATATCTTTTTCCATATTTTTTTCTTTTATTCTTTTTTATTTTCTTTTGAATAATAACTTTATTCATAATTTTTTTTTTATTATTATTTTATTTTGTTTCCCGACCAAGTACGGGTCATTTCGGGTCCTGATTTTTCGGACCCGAGACCCGACGGATCTACACGGCGGGGGGACCCGAAGACCCGGACCTGAGGGCCCGGCCCACCAGGATTTTCAATGTAATTAAACACCAAAAATGCGGCATATGAGGTTCCAACCGTGGAATAGTGAGTACTAACCACTCGCGCAAAGTTAATTATTGTAATATTAATCTTGACTATAGCTATATAACTACATAATACTATAAAATAATTATAACAATTGTATAACTAATATTTAATAAATTGTTTAAATAATTTTAATTAAATAATTGGAGGAGACTAATGAGCGGGGTTTGTCAAATAATCCCTAAAATCAAACACATTTTTATATATTTTCCATTTCTTTCACTACAAAAAAAAAAGTATTTTATGTGACAATTTCGTGTGACAAAAAATAATTTCGTCACACCAGTAGGTGTATTTTATGACGAAATTCAAATTCGTCACAAAAATGAACATTTTATGCGATGAAATTTACTTCGTCACATAAATTCTATTTTAGATGACAATACTGTGAAATCGTCATCATAAAAAAATATAAAAGTGTCATAAAAAGATGTACGTGATTTTTTGAACAATTCACCGACACTGTGCTGCGACGAGAATTGTTTTCTTATGACAAAACCAATTTCGTCACCGTGATTATTTTAGGTGACAATATTAATTTCGTCACAAGGCCAAATTCATCTTAGAAAAAATATTCCTTAAAATCCCGATTATTTAATGGTGCCTTTCCATATTTCTTATTTCCAACACTTGTAATTTCTCCCAAAAAAGTTGTGGACTTCTCTCAATGTTGTTTGCTCTACCACCACCCCCAATCCACGAGTCCACCAACCAATTCAGGAATTCTCAGCATACATCTATTTCCCCAAATCGGCGGCTCAGACGACAATGAATTAATGCATCTTCCGCCGACAACTCGATCGTAATAAGCTCAGCGGTGGCACTGTCTAGGGAGCTTCAATCGCGGCTTGGATCGCGAATTTGCCCCTTCTAAGGCTGACGAGATCGACGATTGGCGGGCGGGGAAGAAATAATCTTCCAATAACGTCTCCGACAGGAAGGAGAGGGGAGAGAGAGGGGGTTTCTTCTCCGATTTCCAATCGCGAGCAGATGGCGTCAGCAATTGGTCGTTTCTCTCCCTTTCTTCATTTGTATAATTAATTATTCAAAATTTATTTAAGGATTTTCTAATGTTTGGAATTAACTTAGGTATTGGAAAATCACATGTTAGAAATTTAGTTAGTGTTAGTTTGGATACTTGAAATCGAGTTGGCTATCTTAAATTGTGTGTTTCATATTTTTAGAATTTGGTTTTACGTCTGTCTGCTGAGCCACCTTCTTCCACCTTCTTCTGAACAACTTGATCCCATAATGACTAATTGCGCTTTCCCATATGAGAATTTATCATAATTGCCATTTAATCAATCTGTGGCCAAGGCTTCATACTTGTATATATGTTTATTTCACTTAATTTAGGTAACATGTATTGCGTATTTCTTCTCGGCCACCGGCTACTGTGATCACCGTATCCGAAGTGCTGGAGCTTGCTGAAACCAGAGCATCGCTCTCCCTGTACGACGTCATACTGCCGGAAACTCTCAAGTTCTCTGCTCTCCAGCGTCTCGGATTTCCCAATGCCACCGAATTCCGTGCTAAGGATCTCGATTGCTCTAATGCCCCGTCGACTTTTGTACATTACATCTCTGGCATCGTCGATGAACTGAAAGGTGAGTCTCTCTCTCTCTCTCTCTC